CCAGGCCCTCACCCCCGTGGTGCATTACCCTGACCAGGCCCTCACTTGTGGTACAGTTACCCTGACCAGGCCCTCGCCCGTGGTGCAATTACCCTGACCAGGCCCTCACCCGTGGTGCAGTTACCCGTGGTGCAATTACCCTGACCAGGCCACCCCGTGGTGATTACCCTGACCAGGCCCTCACCCGTGGTGGTGCCCTGACCAGGCCTGACCAGGCACCCAGGCCCTTGTGGTGCAGTTACCCTGACCAGGCCCAGTTGACCACCCTGACCAGGCCCTCACCCGCGGTGCAGTTACCCTGACCAGGCCCTCGCCCATGGTGCAATTACCCTGACCAGGCCCTCGCCCGTGGTGCAATTACCCTGACCAGGCCCTCACTTGTGGTACAGTTACCCTGACCAGGCCATCGCCCGTGGTGCAATTACCCTGACCAGGCCCTCGCCCGTGGTGCAATTACCCTGACCAGGCCCTCACTTGTGGTACAGTTACCCTGACCAGGCCATCGCCGTGGGCAATTACCCTGACCAGGCCCTCACCTGGTGGTGCAATTACCCTGACCAGGCCCCTCACCTGTGGTACAGTTACCCTGACCCCTCGCCCCGTGGTGCAGTTACCCTGACCAGGCCATTCGCCTGTGGTGGAATTACCCTGACCAGGCCCTCAGTAACTTGACCAGGTACAGTTACCCTGACCAGGCCATCGCCTGTGGTGCACCCCTGACCAGGCCCTCGTGGTGCACCTGACCAGGCCCTGACCTGGCCCTCGCCCGTGGTGCAGTTTAACCCTGACCAGGCCCTCACCTCCGTGGTACAGTTACCTGACCAGGACCAGGCCAGGCCACGCCCGTGGTGCATTACCCTGACCAGGCCCTCACGTGGTGCGGTGCAGTTACCCTGACCAGGCCCTGACCAGGCCATGACCGCCCGTGGTGCAATTACCCTGACCAGGCCCTGACCTGGCCCAGGCCCTGGTGGGTTACCCCTGACCATTACCCTGACCAGGCCCTCGCCCGTGGTGCAATTACCCTGACCTGGCCCTCACTTGTGGTACAGTTACCCTGACCAGGCCATCGCCCGTGGTGCAATTACCCTGACCAGGCCCTCACCCGTGGTGCAGTTACCCTGACCAGGCCATCGCCCGTGGTGCAATTACCCTGACCAGGCCCTCGCCCGTGGTGCAATTACCCTGACCTGGCCCTCACTTGTGGTACAGTTACCCTGACCAGGCCCTCGCCCATGGTGCAATTACCCTGACCAGGCCCTCACCCGTGGTGCAGTTACCCTGACCAGGCCATCGCCCATGGTGCTATTACCCTGACCAGGCCCTCGCCCGTGGTGCAATTACCCTGACCAGGCCCTCACCCGTGGTGCAGTTAACCTGACCAGGCCATCGCCCGTGGTGCAATTACCCTGACCAGGCCCTCACCCACGGTACAGTTACCCTGACCAGGCCCTCACCCGTGGTGCAATTACCCTGACCAGGCCCTCACCTGTGGTGCAGTTAACCTGACCAGGCCATCGCCCGTGGTGCAATTACCCTGACCAGGCCCTCACCCGTGGTACAGTTACCCTGACCAGGCCCTCACCTGTGGTGCAATTACCCTGACCAGGCCCTCACCCGTGGTGCAGTTACCCTGACCAGGCCATCGCCCGTGGTGCAATTACCCGCACCAGGCCCTCACCCGTGGTACAGGAACCCTGACCAGGCTCTTACTCGTGGTAAAGTAACCCTGACCAGGCCCTCACCTGTGGTACAGTTACCCTGACCAGGCCCTCACCTGTGGTACAGTTACCCTGACCAGGCCCTCATCCGTGGTACAGTGACCCTGACCAGGCCCTCATTCGTGGCACTGTTACCCTGACCAGGCCCTCACCCGTGGTACATGAACCCTGACCAGGCCCTCACCTGTGCAAAGTAACTCTGACCAGGCCCTCACCCGTGGTAGAGTTACCCTGATCAGGCCCTCACCTGTGGTATACTTACCCTGACCAGGCCCTCATCCGTGGTACAGTTAACCTGACCAGGCCCTCACCTGTGGTACAGTTACCATGACCATGCCCTCATCCGTGGTAGAGTTAACCTGACCAGGCCCTCATCCGTGGTACTGTTACCCTGACCAGGCCCTCACCCGTGGTACAGGAACCCTGACCAGGCCCTCACCTGTGGTACAGTTACCCTGATCAGGCCCTCATCCGTGGTACTGTTATACTGACCAGGCCCTCACCCATGGTACAGGAACCCTGACTAGGCCCTCACCCATGGTACTGTTACCCTGACCAGGAATACAGCCCTATTGATTCATTCTGTTACTGAGATGATTCTTTATATTTGCGATACATTCAGGAATTCTCTGCAATGTTCTCCTAAGTATCACACCACAGCCAAAATCGCCAATGTTTTGAGTGTAACACTGCCCTTACTGGGTTGGATGTAGAAATGGCTCCCTGGTGCTCTGACAGAACTCAGTAACCGAAGCTTTTTTTTTTCGGTAGCACAGCAAATTACCATAAATGGCAGACTGAGCAAAGTTTTGCAATTTTAAATGAAAATGTGACCAGGCTTTAAGAATAAGCTTAATCTTGGAAAAATAAATGGATCAATCTGGTTCTGATTCAGAGGTAAGGTGGTGAGCAAATATTTATCATGTGAAAGGCCTTGTTCTGTGCTGGTTGAAATAATTATAATCTTGTCTACCATGTCATAGTAACCTTTGCTAATTTAGATAGCCTACCAATCACAAGCACATTGTAGCCTCGGTAGAAACCTTTCCACATCGTATAACAACAGCATTGTATTTTGTCGGACAAACAGAAATTTTAATCAATCAGAATTTTAAAAAATCTAGATAAGAATCGGTGACATTAGAACTTGTTTTGGGACTCTGCATGTTGTAACTGCTTGTTATGGAGGCATCTACGGTAACCTGATTTTAAGCTACAGCTGAGCTTGTGGAAGAAAAAGATAAACAATTCCTGTTTGGTCACAAATAGGACAGGGGTCAGCGTGGGCACCCTGACCCGTCTGCAGCCATGCTGCCCCTTACATAACAAACTGTGATGCACTGTGTGTTCTGACACCTTTCTATCAGAACCAGCATTAACTTTTTCAGCAATTTGAGCTACACTAGCTCTTCTGTCAGATTGGACCACACAGGCCAGTCTTCGCTCCTCATTGGCATCAGTCAGCCTCGGCCGCCCATGAACCTGTCGTCGGTTCACTGGTTTTCCTTCCTTGGACCAACTTTTGGTCACTACTGACCCCTGCGGACCAGGAACAGCCCACAGGAGCTGCAGTTTCGGAGATGCTCTGACCCAGTCGTCAAGCCATTACAATTCTGCTCTTGTGAAAGTCGCTCACATGCTTACGCTTTCCCATTTTTCCTGATTCCGACACATCAACTTCAAGGACAAAATGTTCACTTGCTGGCTTATATATCCCACCCTCTGACAAGTGCCATTGTAAAGAGATCATCTAAGTTATTCACGTCACCTGTCAGTGGTTATAATGTTACGGCTCATTTGAAGCACATCGATACTGCTTTGTGTGAGTTAGGTTTTCTTAATTTGAATGGATGTTATCCTGCTTGTTGTTAATATTATATTTTTATTACTTACATTTTTGCAATTTCAGAGTGACATACATCACATACGCTCAAATACAAAACGCAGGGTGTTTAAAGGAAGTTTTCCTTCACTTGTTTTTTTGGGTACGGGGAACGCGGCTGACAGAGAGCCCGAAGCGGAATGTTCCTTAGTGCTGCAGCTGCTCCTACTGGTTAGCGAGCATCTGTCCAGAGTCTCGGAAGTGTGTCAGTCAAATACAGGCTTGTGAATCAGTAATAATTAACACCCGGCGTCGCGGTGTTGGATAAATAGCCTAATTTATTTGCGTACTCAGTATTCTGCGCGCTGAAGTTTGGCTGTACACCAAACTGCCTAAGCAGGAGGGCGATGGCTACAATTCTTCTGTGTTTCTGAGGACTCATCTCTTCAGACGGAGCCTGATTCTAGGTCTCGTATTTCTCAATACTCTCCCCATCCTTTATCACGGTTTTCCATCTTTTTCACCAGTGTCTTGGTATACAATGTCAGACTTTATCTGTATCTTGTTTTGTAGGTGTTGGTTTTTAAACTGCAGTCACTCCTCAGTCTGTTTGTTTTGTTATTAATCACATCATTTGGCTTTATTTGACTTATGCCTTTGTTCTGGTCTGCGGTTCGCAGTTTGTGAGCAACGTTACTGATATTTTATATGAATCATACCTTATCTGATCTGTGTTGCACAGCTGTACCAGTGACCTTCTGGATGTAGAAACGTAATTATTCTTCTTCGATTTGCATCAGGGTGTCTGGCAAATAAATACTAATCTAATTTAATGTCTTTCAATAGAAGCACTTTGATTGTATTCTGTGTTTTCATCTCCAAATGCTGACAGGCCTCGCAGTAGGAAGTGTTTCTAAAGGGTTGGGATTCATACATGGTTCTTGCGACATGCATGTAATTACCCTGAAATTAAAGCCATAAGCAGCACTTTAAAATGTGTCACTTCCATCAATGTGGGGAAAATTTGTGCATTTGGCATAGAACTTTAAAAGCGCATCGACATCCAAATGCTGTGGACCTTATTTGACATGTAAACACTAATCGTACTGTGTCCTCTTAATTCCAGTGTTCTCCCTCTTTGACAGTATTTTGATATTTAGTGAGTGGTGGGATGTGCACTCCTCTGTGTAGTCCTCAATCAGGCTCCACTGCTCACAAAGACACAGATTATATCACTGAAGTGTTCAGGGACATGCTGAAATATTTCCCATCTAAGTGAGCAGTTATGACAGCGCGCTGCTGTAAGGCTGGGAATGTCTTTAGCACGTTAGCGGGTCTTTGAGGGGGAGGATTACGCACGACACTAACACGGCGAGATGGCGAAGGTGAGTTTGCATTACGAATCGTAAAACATCTCGTACAGCAATACCTGGACTTTGTGATGATGAAGGGGCAGGGCCTGAGTGCACAGTGGTAGTGCTGTGACCTCAGAGCGAGAAGGTTGTGGGTTTAAAACCCACCTGGGGCCTTTCTGTGTGGAGTTTGTGTGTTTTTTAACATGTTTACATGGGTCTCCACTGGATACTTTATTTTCCACACGACGTCTAAATATGGCTGTGGGTTCGAATCAGGCCGGGACGTTCTGTTTAGGCTTACACTTCGTGCGGGATTTCTCCAGGTACTCCAGTTTGCCTCCACAGTCTGAAAACATGCATATCAGGCTAACTTATGATGCTGAATTGTCCTTTAGATATGACTGCGTGTGAGCAGTGTGAGATTACGATGATAGATTAGCTATGTTCCTGCCTCTCTCCTGTTGCATGCTGGGATTGACTCCAGTCCCCCCCGCAATTGGCTGCCCAAATCTGTCTTATGACGAACCCAGATCGTAACAACATTGATTTTATGAAGATTTGAGACACAAATCTGATTTGTCTGCAGTCTGAACACAGTCGTAGAAGAAGTCCCTGACCGATGGTTATATCCTTCCAAAGTCACAGAGGAATGGTTCATAACTCATACAGATGAGCTGAGCCCTTTAACAGTCCTTATGAGATAATGCTACTGTGCATATCCGCCATTGACTCGCCTTAATCCACTGTCCATATATTTTTTCTCTTTTTAGTAGCCAATCAGAATGATGGCTTCTGTGAGTCCCAGCAGTGTTACTTTGAGTTAAATATGAGGCTCTTCGGACACACCTGTGATCTCAGAGTGCATGTAAACACTTTCTGAGTGTTCCTGGAATGTTCCGGAAGCGTGAGGAGTTGGTGGGGGTAATAGGTCATCCGCGCAGTGTTATGGCGCTCGGGGAAGCCAGCGTGATACCTCGCGAGAGACTCGTTGCGTTGGTCCATAGATCCTGACACACAGGAGGAGGTTGAACAATCAGCTTGACTTTGATTTTGTGTGTTGTCCATCTCCATTGGTCACACATGGACTCTTGTGTTATGACAGGAGCCAGTGAGGGGTGATGGGGGATGAGGAGATGATGTGAGATGAGGAGATGATGTGAGATGAGGAGATGATGTGGGATGAGGAGATGATGTGGGATGAGGAGATGATGTGGGATGAGGAGATGATGTGGGATGAGGAGATGTGGGATGAGGACATGATGTGGGATGAGGAGATGATGTGAGGTGTGGAGATGATGTGAGATGTGGAGATGATGTGGGATGAGGAGATGATGTGGGATGAGGACATGATGTGGAATGAGCAGTTGATGTGGGATGAGGAGATGATGTGGAATGAGGAGATGATGTGGAATGAGCAGTTGATGTGGGATGAGGAGATGATATGAGATCAGGAGATGATGTGAGATGAGGAGATGATGTGAGATGAGGAGATGATGTGGGATGAGGAGATGATGTGGGATGAGGAGATGATGTGAGATGAGGAGATGATGTGGGATGAGGAGATGATGTGGAATGAGGAGATGATGTGGAATGAGGAGATGATGTGGAATATGCAGTTGATGTGGGATGAGGAGATGATGTGGGATGAGGAGATGATGTGGGATGAGGAGATGATGTGGGATGAGGACATGTGGGATGAGGAGATGTGGGATGAGGACATGATGTGGGATGAGGAGATGATGTGAGGTGTGGAGATGATGTGAGATGTGGAGATGATGTGGGATGAGGAGATGATGTGGGATGAGGACATGATGTGGAATGAGCAGTTGATGTGGGATGAGGAGATGATGTGGAATGAGGAGATGATGTGGAATGAGCAGTTGATGTGGGATGAGGAGATGATATGGAGATCAGGAGATGATGTGAGATGAGGAGATGATGTGGAGATGAGGAGATGATGTGGGATGAGGAGATGATGTGGTATGAGGAGATGATGTGGGATGAGGAGATGATATGAGATCAGGAGATGATGTGAGATGAGGAGATGATGTGGGATGAGGAGATGATGTGGGATGAGGAGATGATGTGGGATGAGGAGATGATGTGAGATGAGGAGATGATGTGAGATGAGGAGATGATGATGAGGAGATGATGAGATGAGGAGATGATGTGAGATGAGGAGATGATGTGGGATGAGGAGATGATGTGGGATGAGGAGATGATGTGGAGATGAGGAGATGATGTGAGATGAGGAGATGATGTGGGATGAGGAGATGATGTGGAGATGAGGAGATGATGTGGGATGAGGAGATGATGTGAGATGAGGAGATGATGTGGGATGAGGAGATGATGTGGGATGAGGAGATGATGTGAGATGAGGAGATGATGTGGGATGAGGAGATGATGATGAGGGATGATGTGGGATGAGGAGATGATGTGAGATGAGGAGATGATGATGAGGAGATGATGTGGGATGAGGAGATGATGTGGGATGAGGAGATGATGTGAGATGAGGATGATGTGGGATGAGGAGATGATGGGATGAGGAGATGATGTGAGATGAGGAGATAATGTGGGATGAGGAGATGATGTGGTATGAGGAGATGATGTGGGATGAGGAGATGATGTGGGATGAGGAGATGATGTGGGATGTCCGTGCTTGAGCAGGACGATGAGTGCAGGACAGGAGAGGTGTGTGATGTTGATTAAGTGCACGTGTGCGGGTTTAAGTGCAGTGTGCGACTGTATGCCTGCATGTGTTTTTTTCAGTGAATGGGTGCAGTTGTGAGTGATGCATATCTATGTTTTGCTGGGGTGTGAGGGATGGGATCAGTGCCGTCAGGAGTGAGGGCTGTCCTGTGTGTGAGGAAATGGGAGGAGCAGTTATGATGTGGTTTAATGACTCATTTTCAGGAAGAGACTGCTTACAGGGTAAGAAAGCCTATGGTGAACTTGCATCGCCAAATTAGTGCATAATCTCTGCCATCCAAAACAAAAAGCAATTTTTACATTTTTTTTTGTATCGTGCAAACTGCAGTTAAATGTTAAATGTTTAAGACAGCACAAGAAGGTTGCCATGTTACTTTGGCTGGAAGAGGATGCTTACATCACCCAGGCTGGTAGCTCTTTTGTTTCAAAGGTAAAATGGTGAAAGGTCACATCAGTCAGATTCGGATCGCCTGTTTCGTTAGAATACCCAACAACCGAGCTTTGCGGCATTGTCGAGGATTAAATATCGATTTCCGGCAAACAATCGGTTGTAATTCAAACAACTGGTATCTCTCAAAACACTCTTGATTATCAATGCAACTTTTAATACTTATACTGTGACTACACTCGAAAGACATATCCAGCCCTCTTGACATCACGCACCGGTCTGGGCAGAATATTTCCCATTGTTTGGTTGGTCGCTTATTTTTTATGGCGGTGATGGCAGATTCTGAAGTGTGTAGGATTCTGTGCTGTTTAAACGTGGATAATACTGTGAAAAAAATGTAATTAAAATAATGGCTTATCAATTCGGACAGCAGGCATTATGTACTTTATTTGACAATGCAAGTTCACCATAGGTTTTCCTATCCTTTAAGGCCCGGCTGTGCTCCCAGTCTGTTTTAAGCTGGAGGGCGGGACTTCTTGATCATGTGACACATGACACAGTCACTGGTACTGCCTCAGAACAGGGTCTGTACAGCTGCATGCAATGTGCTGGGGAAATGTGAGTGTGTGTGAGTGTGTCTGTGTGCGTGCGTGTGTGTGGGTGTGTGTATGTGTGTATGGGTGAGTGTGTGAGTGTGTGTGACGATATATAGTATCTGTATATGTATATTTGCATAAGTGTTTGTGTGAGTGTGTGTGTGTCTGTGTGTGTTTGCGCATGAGTGTGTGCGTGAGTGTATGTGTGAGTGTGTATGTATATGTGTGTGTGTGTGTGTGTGCGTGCACGTGAGTGTGTATGTGTGTGTGTATGAGTGTATGAGTGTGTGTATAATGGGTGAGGTTGATGCTGGCAGTATCTTGCCTGCAGCAGTATATTACAACATTAACCCTTTTCGGTGCATAATCACTGCCGCATGATTAGAATGTCCCAGTACACAACACTCCAGTGCTGATGTACCCATCAATCCGAGAGCAACGGAGCTCCAACACGCTGACATCAGACAAATTCCACAAATTAACATCCTGAACAGTACTCTCTTCAAAGTCCTATTTTTGTACAGATCTTACTGTCATATTTGTAATTTTTACATTCATTACATTTTCAAAAACACCACAAAAAACATATCTGCCTGGGTTTTTGCTGTTTGTTAACAAATCCATTGCCAGGTGTGGGTGCAGCAGCTGGCTGCCTCACTAGCTCCGGACCTCAAGGCTTTTGTACGCAACACACTGACATCGGAAAGCAAAAGTCTTGAAGCTAAATTCTTCTTTTTGTATCTTTATTACAAAACTGAAATCATGCAAAATAGAAAAATAATAGACTTTCGACTTTTCTTAGTAAACTAACCGAAATTAGCGCGCTGGTCAAAAGACCGTGTTGCGTCAAGGTCCAGTGGCTTCTGCCGTTTCACGGGCTCACGATGTATTTATACTATACACACAGCAGCCAATGAGAAAACACCATTCTATCGTGTCATTAGTCACTGGCCAAACCTTCATTCCACATTACAACACGGAACAGAAAATACTTCAAACCCAAACATCTCAAACAGAATATTGATTCAAATTATCTTAAATTATATGTGTAGAAAATGGCTACAACAGCCAGGATTTTAAATATTTAGATGCTAAGAGTCATGCTGAGGAGTGACCTGCAGTCTCTGTAACTGCACATGTGAAAACAGCCGGTTCAAGGATGCGTAAAAGTGAGTAAAATAACCTTTTTCCATCCTCACTCATTGCGAAAAGAAAATGTCAAATCCATTCATGCAAAAAAGAGCAAATTATTTTTTCCTTTTTTTAAACATGATTTTACTGACATGTTTATTCTACCATTTTATTTTATCAACATGCAGCCAAGAGCCCAAAGAATAGCATTGGATTTTAAGGAGTTATACTATTCAAATATATTTTACTGTTTATGTTACAGAAATGACATCATTATGAGTCTCACAGATAGATTTACAGTCTGGGCAGAGGCAGAATACCGTAATGTTAATGTGGGTGTGTGTGTGTG